TTCTATAAGTTCTTAATAATGATATCGTTGATCGATTTCAAGACATGTTGACTAGCCACTGATACAAAATTGCCGCAAAAAAACACCTTCCTCCTTAATATCTAGCAATCGAGTTGCACTGAATCGACGTTCTAGTGATACCGAGTACAAGCTCTAACCACTGATACTAACTCGGTAATCAACGATTCTTGTTTTTTTTATAGATTTCTACTTTCCTGTAATAAATTGATTGTTGTTTTCTTAAATTGCATCTCCTCACTTATTGTCGGTCGCCAATTGGTTTTGTTGGAATAAGGTTTTACGTACTCTTCTATCGACATCGTTTCTTCAATTCAAACTTTCAATTAGTTAAAATGTCAACTCCCCAGTTGTCGTTTCCCGTTTTCCAGTGGGTTGCTGGAGGACTCTTCATTTGGGTCGGCTTCATTTTTATTTTTGGATACCAGGTTAATCTCAGTTCTCTTTTCCTTATCAATTTTTCATGGAGAGTATATTTGTGTAATATATAAAAGATGTAATTTGTTATTTAATTTGATATATATATATATATATATATATATATATGTGTTGTGTGTGTGTGTGTGTGTGTTTTCAATTCATCAAAATTGGATACAAAAAGTAAGAATTTTGTGGGGGAGGGTGACTTGGAGCATTTATCCAAACTTGTCGAATAGAAATCATGGAGGTCCTACTTGCATTTATACAAGTTGAGATTTTTTTCAACTTATTGTGTGTGCTTTTCTTTTAGGTTTTCTGTATTTTCTTAGATTTTTAGTTAGTATAAGTTCTTTTTAATGTGTTAAAGTTAAACCAGTTAGATTGCAACTACTTGGTTTTTGTTATGTTATGTGTGTGTACAAACATTGCTTATGCAAATTGTAATGTTTTTTTTGTGTGTACTAACTTTACTGAAGCAAGGTTCAAGAAGGTTATGAATTCTTGCAATAAATTCTGAAAGGTAAACACAATCTCTTAAGGTCACTTTAATGTCCAATGTTATAGCTACTTTTATACGTGGAAATACAAAAGTCATGGCTGATTTTGGAGATTGTCACACCCCCAAACCGGAATGACAGAAATGTTCGGGGGGCGGATGACATCATTTACAGTATCACCACAATTGAATAATATAATCAAAGCACAACAACCATTACATTGATAAAGTATAGTTTTTACATCTGTGTTCAAATCAATGTACATTTGACACCAAAAGTATATAGCAAAAACTAAAAAATGTGACTGTAATATGCTTCGTCTTTTCAAAATCTGTATGGATACCTGTTTACTGATTCCCTGAGAATACAAAATAGTTTTGAAAAGAGTGTCAACAATTAAGTTTGTGACTTCATAAGCAGTTTTGTATTAGAAATTTTTCATTTGTTTCTTGAAAATGTACGTGTTTTCTTCCAAAAAATCCTATATTTTCTATTGTAAATAAATTGTAGTCTTAATTACCTTACGACCAAAATGTATAAGTATTGTTGTATTCTGAAATACTATATCTTATTTTTATTATTAAATAAAACCATATGAAAATGAATGTTTTCTTTGAAATGTAAGTTTCACTATACCAGAAAATAGTATGTTGTAACTGTACTTGTATGAAAACCCTGTAAACATATGTGTTTGGATTCACCAGTTGTAATGTAAATTATTGTATTATGTTTCTATTATTTAATTAAAACTATATGAAGTTGTTTACGTATTCATACACTAGTTGTATTATTCAATACCAAATTGTAAGTTATTATAACCATGCTTGATGACCTAAGATGGCATGAATACGACATTCTTCAGGCATCAGAATCGGTACGACATTTGTTACCTCAGGCTTGTTGGCCTAACTGGAGCTAATAGTTTAGGTGCGGGATTGTCAGTCTCATATAGATCTATAAATAAGTGTCAAGCTCTCCCTCCAGAAGACTCTGGTTATAATTGCATGGCTTGGTTGGTACTTAGATAAGTACTTGAGATATGTCTCACAAAGCTATATTGATGGTTATGTGTAGAACAATGAAAAGCCATTTTGTAATGAATAAACTGTATGTTTGTCTCATAAACTATATCCATTGTAGTTTTAATGTTTGTTTCTGTATTGTAACATGAACTTGATAAAATTAATACATATGTTCCATAAACTATACCTATTATAATTCATATGTTTGTTTCTGTATTGTATCCCGAAATCGTAAAATAGTACGTATGTTTCATAAACTATACCAATTATAGTTTAAAAGTGTATGTTTGATATCGTAAATCTGTGATAAGGATATTTCGTGAAATTTAACATTTATGTTCAAACGTTAATAAATAATTTGGAAAATATTCTTTTTATTTAACATGTTTAAATAGTTTTATACTTATATATATATATATATATATATATATATATATATATATATATATATATATATATATATATTCATAATATATGTACATATATATATATATATATATATGTATATACAAATATATATACATACATACATATATATATATATATACATATATTATGAATATATATACATATATATATATATATATATATATATAAGCGACCATTGGAACTATTTGAAATAGTTTAAATATTAACACAACACAAAATTCCTTGTGTTTTACTTGTATTCCCCCCCCCCCCCCCCTCTCCCTTAAAACAATGAAAAATCGTAAAAGCGTAGGGGTATGAACTCACCTTGGGTGTGTGTTCTTAGTTGGGTATGATATGGTTGTGATGATCCTCGAGTTAGAACACGTGTAAATAAACATATCCTAATAATATTTAACACATAATATTATGTATGAATTAGTTAAATTTATATGTTAAATATTTTAAAAGACTAAAGTAATTCAAAGTAACATACAAGATCTCTAGGAATTTTGGATGAAGATGCGAAGCGTTCTTGAATGAAATAAGAAGATTTGAAGATTAACTGGGTAAGTGCTTTGAAGATATGAAGGTTTTCTATTGAATTTTGAAAGACAATTGAAGAGTTTTCGCAGGGAAATTGTATGAAAATGAAGTATGATTCCGGTTGACATATATATATATATATATATATATATATATATATATGTGGGGTCGAAATTGATGTGATGTTTACGTTAGGATGTGTAATTTATTACATTCGAAGAGTATAAACCAATCCACTTGCATCTTATCTTGACTTTTAGGGGGGGGGGGGTTGGCCTAAGTGGAAGAGATTTCGGTCCTAGTGGTCCCCTAAGGTGTGTTTTCGGTCCTAGACGTCACATGGGGGGGGGGGGGGGTGATTTCGATCTTACAGATAAACACAATTGAGATTTCGGTTCTTGGTTTCATAAAGCAAGTGGTTTCGGTTTTGGTATGGGATTAGATTCCCTAAACCGAAAACCATATGTATTCTATGAAATATTATGCTTTATGTTAAGTGTTTGACTTACATTGAATTGTGCTAGCATACTTCAACATGGTTTTCAATATATAAGTATACATGTCTTATAGAAGGATAGTTTTCAAAGTATAATTATATATATTAACATATATAAACATGCCCTCATGGCTAATTGTGATTTAATGTAACAAGGTTGCAATGTGGTTTCCACTTATACATGGTACATTTTTTGACTTGGTTTGGCTCTAAGTTTACCAGTTGCCACATAGATGATGAGTACAAACACATTCATTTTGTAGAGGCATCAACAATTGAGAAGTCGGTTTTGAATCCTAATGAAGAATGGAAAGTAAGCCAAATATATTAGTTCAAAATGGATTAACAATTTTTTCTGTTAGAATTGATTAACAATATATTCTACCAGAATGGATTAGTAACAATATTTTATTAGATAGTATAGTGTATTAGTGTTTTACTTAGATTTCAATGTTTTTATTTGATTTTTAACCATTCTTAATTTTATTATTTAAGAATAAATGTAATTGTTAGCCATTATTATTCGCAGTCTTTCAGAATAAATCTAATTTATGTTCATACTTGTATTTTTTTTAAGAATAAATGTAATTACTGATTCTAAGATATTAAAATTCTTTTCATATAAAATATGTATTCATTAAAAGTTATTAATTTTAATAATATATGTTTATAGTATTCGGTCATTCAAATTCTTAAATTTAAGAGAAT